AATTTCAGGTCAAAGGGTTAACCCGAACCCGACCCGATTTTTGAAACGGGTTGAAATGTTGAACCCGAACCTTACCTGTTTTGGGTTCGAGTTGACCATAAACCAAAATTTTCGGGTCGAATTCGAGTCGGGTTTTCAGGTCGTGTCAAATATTGACACCCCTATATACAGGCCATTAGCCTACCTTTCTAATCTTGATTTATTTTTATTCCAAAATAAACAATGATAAGTTTGTTCACATTTAACTTACAAAAAAATGCTTCACCAAAAATGTTAAAATATTAATATAATATATATTTAAATTAAATAATAATTTGATTGTCCTACGGTGAAATTTAGGCTACATCCATATCAACTTTCTTTCATTTAAAAGTGATACAATAAAGTAATTCGAACGCTTTGTTTTGACATAATTTCCTCCAATATTCAAAGAAGAGTGGCTGTGGGTGGAGTAATTATTGTGTCCGGATAATGAACGGGTCCAGAGATCAATAACAAAGCGCCACGTCACCTGGGTGCTCGGTACCGAGCACTCGGTATTCGTCCGAATTTCTGATTTTTTGTTTGGACGTAATAACTTCATCACCGTGCGCGGTAGTTGGTGGGAAGTGAACTGCACTACGGTGGAGGAGAATATAATAAATTAATCTTGAGTTAATTAATAATATTACATAATTACATAAAAATTAATTTAAATTTACCTTAATAATGAATTTAATTGATAATATTATATAATTATATAATAATGAATTTAATTTTACCATGATAATTAAGTATAATAATAACATTTAATAACTAATTAAAATTATAAAATAATAAATTATAATTATTAAACATGCCGAGGTTTAGCATATATTTTAAAATAGGAAAAAAAGTAATAGCTCATATGATTAATAGTGCATACAATGGAATATAACAAAATTAAAAAACATGCATAGTAATTAATAATTTCATTAAAGCTAGTATTTCCTAATAAATAAAAATCATAAAAAGTCTTTAAGCACTTGACTACTTATTCTAGGATTGATTGATTAAAAGAAACATCATTAGTAGCATCATGGTACCATGCCTAGTTAAAGTGTCGGGGTGGAGAACCTATTCAACATCGCATCATTAGTTCATTTTGGAGCACCACTGTAATGCTCATATATCTTAATTGGAAGAATCATCCACCGCTGCTTGTCCGAGTGGTGAAGAGCTGGCTGGGCAAAATCCAGGTCCATAGTTCGAATCTCTTGACAATTAGTGAAAGTCTTAAGTGTTGTCTCATGTAAATTGGTGTGGGTTGCATGATAGGTCGACCAGGATTTTCACTAGCCTAAGAACAGTGCTTTCTCGTTACAAAAAAAAAAACATCAAAATTATTCACTATTTTCATTTAATAAAATTTGATTTATAATTACCAAGAGATCACTTACAATATCAATCTACTCGTTAGGATATCTACAAAAAGAATAAAATAAAATATAGAAAATAAAATTAAAACTTAAAGATTTTGAGTAACCCCACTCCATAAGATCCTAACCCCTTACCCAACCTAAGTCAATAAAATCCACATTATAAGCTTACAAAGTCCAACAGAACCCCAAAATTACTAAAGCTTTTAATGCAATGTCTCAAAAATTAATATACATGCTCATCTCAATCAATATCAAAGCAATAACCATCATTAAAAATAATAATCAATCATGGGCGACACAAATCAATATAATCAGTAAATAAGAAAACCTGAAAGATCGTTACACTGAAATCTATAAATCACTATCATATATTAGAAGAAAAATCACATCCATTCTATATCAAAATAATTATAGTATTCATAGCCAACCTTCCTTACTTACATGATTTATCAAATATATCAATTGTATCATTTTTTTTCTATGCAATTCAATATCATGTATGAAATACAATAACCTTTTAACAATCTGTGAAATTCATGACAATTAGTATACTATTCATTAAGTTTAGAAAATCATAATTATCAATTTACCAAGTGAAATTTAATAATATTACTATCAAAATTCCTATAAAAATTATATCTATAACATACAAAAAGTTACATGATAAAAGATTAATAAATGAGGAGAAACTTATTTTTATCTCTTTCTAAAAGATTCAAATCATAGAACACAAAATTACTGAATACAAAAGTAGGATTCAGGTTACCCACAATAATTAGAATAAATTTTGTAATAGATCCGACAGATAATTACCTCGAATAACTTTCTCACTCCTTTCTCTTCTCCCACACCCTTCTCTCTTCATCTCCTTTTTCCTCACCCAGCAAGCCAAATGAGATGGGGGAGGAGGGATGGTGTTAAGTGATATTTATTTTAAAAAATATATAAAGTAAATATTAGTGTTTGACACCGCAACGCCTAAAATCACAACACCGTTGCGCTGCATGATGAACCCAAAGTTACTGTAGAATATAGGCTTCAACATAAGGATTGTGCTCTCCCAGCTCCAATACGCATATAAGGACAACGTCGCAATATAGTAACTCAAATTTCCATAATTAAAAAAAAAAAATCATTTTATGAAATTTCGAGTCATTACAATTTACCACTATCATGCAAGAAATTAACAATCAATTCACAAACAGAACAAAAAAAAGCATGATAAAAATCATTTCATTCAAATTAAATCATTGGTATCAATTAATTCAAATTAATAACCAAATTAGCATAAAAACCAAAATCAGTACAAATCATTAGTAATTTAAACCAAGTTAATTAAATGTAAATAATAAAATCTATACAACCCATTTTAACCCTCTCATAATCAATCATATGGCACTCGATTATAATTCAAATCTTTAAATAACCTTCACTTTGACACAAATTGTAATGCTCCAAGACCTAAATTGGAATAACTATCTATTTATTTTCTTTATTAATCAACTAGAGATTCTAATTTCTCTTGAATTAAAAGAAAAGCTAATAGAAGCAATTCCATACATCAAAATATTTTACTATTTTCATTTAATAAAATCTAATTTACAATAGCCAGTAGAACACTTAAACATTAATATATCTCTGTAGGCTCTTGACTACAAAAGAATAAAATAAAATATAAAAAATAAAAAGAAAATGTAAAGATTTTGATCAGCCTCACTCTATAAGATCCTGACCCCTTTCTGGATCTGAAAATAATAAAATTTACATAACGAGCTTGTAAAGTCCAACATGACCCCAAAACTATAAAATCTTTTAATGCAGGATTTCAAAAATTATTAAGCATACTCATCTAAATTAATAAAAAATCAGTAGCTATCAGTAAAAATAATGATCAACCACTTGTGATATGAATCGATATGATTAGTAAACAAGTAAAACACAAAAGTCATTACACTAAAATCCATAATCCACCATCATACACTAGAAGAGTAATATATAATAGTTATATATCAAAATAATCAGTACAATATCAAGTAAAATGCTGTCAGTTATGTTCATTGTATGCTATATATGAATCATGAATGCTTCTATCACTATTACAAATGATACAATCACATATAAATACTTTACATGTATGTTCAATTTCAATTGGAGGGGATTCCAAATATTTAAAAATGTCTCCCAAACTCTCATGAAATTTCAAAACTCAAAAATAAAAAAACTATTAAAATATTCAAAAATGAAATTAAACACCTTAAATACTTAAAGCAAATACCCACCAACCATTCACATTAGTTTGCTGAGATAAACAAATTTGGAAATCACTTCAGCTTATAAAGAGAAAATAATTGGTTGAGAATATCACAATGATTAATTCTCAAACCGTCTCTTGTCAGTACGAACATGGTACATGTCTTCTAACTAGTAGTTTTGCCACTAAATGGCACCACATATAAATGGTTATAATCGGGGCTCTCTAATTGGATGGTTTTGTCTCCAAATGACACGATTAAATTATGATCATGGTCATAGCCTGTATGTTCCCCAACGATGCTAAATATTTGAGTAATGAATCAACAGAATGTGATCGATAGGGCACAAATATCTCTGTTAGCTAAGGTGGATTCAAATCTATCGCCTTAGGCAAATATTTACCCTACGTCTACAAGATACCCTTGGACGAAGCAACCCATGGCCGTCAACAAGAATCCTTCCATCAGGTTGGGTCAACTACTTCCTCTGATTACGTAGATTAGGGATCATGATGACCCGGGATGACATAACAATGAGATCTTGATCGGGTCTACCATCATTTGCCACAGCATCCACTTTAAGTGCAAGATGGTGAATTTCTAATTTTAAATGTTAAATTTTAAAATAACTAAACATGCTGCTACTATACATTAGATATTATGTATCTATTTGACGACTAGCCTTAATCGAAAGTTCTCTCTCACTATCAAGAGGGATAATTAACTATAGGGGCTTACACCTATAGGAAACTTGAACTTATATCATAAAATTCCTATAAAATGAGGGCGAAATATTTGGGTAATATCTTATTCACAACCTAATCCGCCTTCTGAAAATTTGCATTGGGATTTAAACATTACAACTCTCCTCTATGACCCAAAAAAAGGCCACTAAGAGGCCACGGTACGAATTTTTGAAGCCCACATCTACCTCTAGAAAAAAATATTATTGTAATACATTCTTAAAGTTTGGCTTTTAGTGCAGATCTTTCCTATGCTGCAAAAAACAATACAAACAAACATACGTAATTTCCAAGATACAAACTAGTAGTCTAAGTCTTTATTTGGGACAATTTACTTACTGCTTTCTAAAAAAATATTTTTAATATCATTTTAAAAAAATTGTCGTGCTAAAAAATTGTTTCAGAAAGCAATAAGAAAGTTGTAAACTCACACACACAACGCATACACAAAGACTCGAACTCAGGACCTCTTAGTTTAAGCCTAAACTCTCAACGAATATGCCAATGTGAGTTGTGTCTACCAAGTTGCTTTAGTAGACAAATAAGAAAATTGTCCTAAACAAAGTCTATGTAATCAAAAGTATGCCTTAAAAGCAAAACCAAACTTACTGTTCTATGAAAGAGCCCTTTAATAGATAGACAAACGAAACCAAAATCTACCAAATATTTATTTCTTCATAATTAGAAAACAGGGGCGACTTGCATATTCACAAACTGAACTGCAAATATAAAAGGGAACACAATATTTGCCCATTTTATTAATAAAACCTTAATATTATCTAAGGGTTCGTTTGGGACGGCTTTCTTACTACTTCTTAAAGTGGTTTTTAGTTAAAAAAATTGAAATTTTAATACTAGAAAGCTTCTTTAAAAAGCAGTAAGAAAACCATCCCAAACATTGCCTAAGTCTCATAAAACTATTATCATGAAATTGGGTATATGACAACTTTTCCAGTAGCCCTCCCAGTTTCAAGATATGAAAACGCATCAATCACCTTTGAAAATGGGAATGGACCTTTTGGATCATTAAGTGGCTTAATCTTCCCACTCTCCAGATATGGATTCAGCTTTGTTAAAACAGCTCCATCAGAAGTGAGAATAAATATGAAACCTGGAGGAGAGATAGGACCACTGATTCCCACAACAGCTCCACCTTCTTTCACAGCATTTGGTCCCGTTTCGCCAAGCCCTGCATATTGAAATTTGATTATATCAAAAGTTGGCTATGAAAGGAATGCACTTGGCCTATCTTCAGCATTGAGTAAATTACTGTGAATAATTCATTTCGAAGACATAGGTTTCGTTTGGGACAACTTTCTTACTGTTATTAAAGAAGCTTCCTAGCAAAAAAATTAAAAATTTTATACTAAAAAGCTGCTTTAAGAAGCAATAAGAAAACCGTCCCAACGAAGCCATAGTCTGATGAATGGAATCCTACCCAATCAAAAAATATTAAACAGAAATTGAGGCACGTGTATTATATTTTAAAATTGAGTTAGCTAAATCATTAAGACATGATGTCCAACTCCACTAGGCATTTGGAGCCTTTGCAGCTTAAAAACAAACTATAAAAGGTGAATCAAGATAATTCAACAAGGCAAAGTGAAAAATTCAAAGAGCTTAGTGTGTCCATTTATGGATTTTTTTGTTTGATAGAATGTAGGATTATCTGAAAAATATCTCTAGATAGATGGAAACACAAATACAATCATTAAATTTTTTTTTAAATAATTAATTTAATAACATTTATAAAATAATTATAAGGCATTTTCAAATGATAGGACTTTAATCAAAATTATACTATATATGTAAATCAACAATTAAATTGACATACATTTAATTAAGAAAATTAATTCACATCAGCAGTTATGGGTTGGAGTGTAAACGAGTCGAGTCGAGTAATGGCCTTACTGAGCTCGACGCATGAGTCAGAAAACCGGCTCAAACTCTACTCGACGCACTGCGAATGACTTGTCTAGCAGCTTGTGAGCTCAGCGATTTGAGCACATCACGTGGCACAACGACTCTTGCTCCATCCCGTCGAGCACACGCAACACAACGCTCTGTTTTGAGGCACAACGCTCCTTCCCGTCGAGTGCACGCAACAAAGCTACTCACACCGAGACTCCTGCCCCGAGGTCGCCGCCCTCATGACCTAGTCCCACGACTCCTGCCCCCTCGATCCGCACATGAGGTTGCCGCCCTCGTCCCTGAGGTCACCCCTCGGTCCAAACACGAGGCTGCCCCACTCTTCCCGTGTCCTGCACAGATGTTCTTCGTGTGCCGCTCGACGAGTACTCAAGGCGAGTCACTTGACAAGTACTCAAGTCTAGCCTTCGATGGTTTGAACTCGAGCTCGAAAGTTTGTTTGAACTCGACTTTTAAGGTCGATAAGCTCGGCTCGCGAGCCCATAAACAAGTCGAGCTCGAGCCGGCTCACGAGGTGGCTCGGCTCACTTACCCGCCTAGTTTAAATGTATGACACATTAACTTAATTCCTCTATAATTCGTACAACCAAACACATCATTATTATTATTAAAAAAAAACCAACACACTCCTACACCACGCACATAACATCTTTTTAATCTTCAAAATAATATTAAGAGATTAGTAAGCCAAGAAATTTCTTGATCTCCTAAGCATTTTCACATCTCTATTAAGATATCATAAGGTCTCACTGCTTTTCCACACTTCATTTTTAATCTCTAACTTTAATTTTACTAACACAATGATAAAAAAAATCTCTATTTTCATTTATGGTGTTAAGTTCAATAAAGTCAATCATATTCTCACAATCTTCTTCGAAATATCTCATCCACATATGTTGAATATCCTATTCTAAGAAAAATGCTTTTTAATCTTCATCATCAATGCACATCACTTGAACTAGGTCATTCTCCTATCTATTCGTTTAGCTAACTTATACATACATCTTTCACCATCCTTAGTATATAATTTCTTATATAAATCACTAAAAGCTAAATTATATGCATCGCATATTGCTTTCTTAGACTCTCAATGAGCCTCTTTATAACTTTCCTAATTTTCTGAGCTTTTATATATAAACTAATTTTTATAATAAAGCTTCTGATTTTTTACATTTTCTTGTATATTTTAGTTCTACCACCAACTATTTTTACTCGTATGAGCTTTTATTTTTGATACTTCAAGAACATACTTTGCAATATTCTTAATATCACTAACTTATTTTTTCAACAAAGCATTAGCTTCCTTATGAACAACCAAAATCTTAAAATCTTGAATCATACTCCCAAAAAATATTTTTATTAGCATTCTTTAAATATCTCCATATAATCCTAGGGCAATATTTTACTTCAGGCAGGTGAACAAAATAATAAAAAAAAATTAAAATTGCTTAATCAAAATCCATTATTGATATGCTAACAAATATTTTTCATTAAGAATGAAAAGATATTGCTTAATTCTATTTTTGAAATTAAAAAATGATATAATTTTTCATACTATTGATAAGATATAGAAAGAAAAAGCTTTGAAATAATTCATATGCCCTATAAAAAGCTTAAGTTACCTATATGTACAAATACTTCTCCAATTAATATGATGGAATTTAATCCAACAAAATAGTTTGGTCTTGAACCTCACCTAGCACTTAAAAGTAATGACGATAGATTAAAAAAACCAGCCTCAAATAGTTTGGGAGAAAGCTAATGCCCATGTTTGTCAAAGGCTCAGAGGCTTATTGTCGATACTAGTATTTTATAATCAAAATGGCTTCTTTTATTTTAAAAGGATAACAAAAACATCTAATTTATACTGCGGACATCACATCTTATACAAAATAGCCTTTGGTTAAAACAGGAATCAAGTATAAATGGAAGATTATTCATGAAGTTACCAAATAGTTTAGATAAAGAAGACAGGATCTTACCAATAGCATCGTAGACCACATCAAATTTTTCTGGCAGTTCATTTAGGTTTTCCTTGGTATAGTCAATTGCTAAATCAACTCCCAGACTCTTCAATAGCTCCAACTTACCCGTGCTTGAAGTGGCAGCTATTCGTGATGCACCATAAACATGCTTTGCCAACTATAAAAGAAAATAGATTTCAAAGCAAAGCCTTTACAAACCTATCACTATATAAAGCTCAAATCATCTATTATATTTGCTCTGAAACTAACCATGTTTCTAGAAAATGGAAATAAACTATGTAAGAACTACTAGTTATCAGTATAAATGCTATTTAACTTGTAGTAGTCATTGACAAAAAGCATAATAATTGTCAAAAAAGTTTAGTCTCATACGCTAGTGCATGAATCAGAAAACAACCACATCTTGCTTGCTAAAAATAATTAAGACAAGAAAGGCAGGTATTTTTCCCTCAAAGATGCTTAAAGGAAATTACCTGAATCACCAAGGATCCAACTCCACCTGCACCACCTAATACAAGAATAGATTTACCAGCAGAGAATTGAGCCCTCTCCAAGCCTTCATTAGCGGTCTCGATAGCCAAGGGGATTCCAGCAGCTAATTGAAAGTCCAAATTATTGGGTTTTATGGCCAGCAATTTCTCTTCAACAGCAGTGTATTCAGCAAGTGATCCAAACTGCTTAGGTTTATCCAAACCTTTCTCATTGATATCTCCATATACTTCATCTCCTTCCTTTAGGTTCTTCACTTGACTGCCAACCTTCACAACTATGCCAGCCACATCATATCCTGGCACAGTCTAGAAATGATGATAAAAAAATAAAAAAATTAAAAAAAAAATGTTAAAAGAGAAGCTATTGATAATTTCATTAAGACAAGTAAAATTGGTTAGCGAAAACTTCAACGCAAATATTAAATTTTCTTGAAGAAACAATCTCTTGTGTTAATAGGGCTTCTTCTCGTAACCGTAAAAAAGGGAGTTAAAAAATGGCACTGAAATATGAAATTTCTTCTTTAAAGAATGGTAGGAAAAAATATAGTTTTTTAATTTAATCTGGACTTAAGAAATCTAATATTTATAATCTCCTTTTTAAAAATTTATAACTGAAAACAGGACCATTTATTAGTGGAGACGACTCTGATCTTTAATTTTATTCATCCTCATGGAAAATTCAAGAACAAACAAAGTAAAGGCATTTTGACTTGAAGCAAAAGGGGTTATAAATTCTATATCACATCAGTTTCAATGAGCTAAATTTCCCATAAATCATGCATCTCAAATAAATACCTTCCAAACTTGTCAAAACCAATCACAGTCTTCTACTAAAACCATTATTACCCAGCATCCAGCGCATTGAAGCTGGAATTGAAAAAAAGAAATCCAATCAAGCTGGTGACAGAAACTCAATTTAGAGGGGAGAAAGGCGATCACTTGAGGCATCCAACTCTCAGATGACACATCTGATGAAGTTAAAGCCACAATCCTTCTCTCCCCCAAACAATTACCAAAAATCTGAGGCTGTTTGGTACCCTATAAATCCAGCTAAAATCCTACATAAATCCTGTATCCAAACAGCCCCTAAATACAGCCAAAATATTTGTGTGGACTTTCTATACTATAATTTTGATAAATCTCATTTCAGCCCTGTTGCGTCCTGGAATATTCGCGGCGGTAGAGAAATATATGGTTTAATGTCTTAGCATTGTACGAAGATCCAACACACAAGCAGATAAGAGAGGGGGTGAAACATTCATAAGTGACACTAGAGTTTTTACTTGGAAAACCCCTGAAAAGGGGAAAAAGCCACGGGGCCTGGCCCAGTTTGAATGAATCCACTAGTATTTGTAGTCGATTACAAATGAGGCCCTTCCTTTGGAGAAGGCCTTGTATTGATGTAGCAAATATACATCATATAGATTGCATTACATGGTAGGAGTTACATATACATGTTTGTTTGGTCGGAAGGACCGTAGTCGGCAGGAGACCGGGGTCAGAAAGACCGTTGTCTGGTGATGGAGGTCGGACGGACCGCATTAGGCGACAGAGGTCGGAAGGACCGTAATCGGCAGGAGATTGGGGTCAGAAAGACCGTTGTCCTGTGATGGAGGTCGGAGTGACCGTAGTAGGCGACGGAGGCCGGGTGGACCGTAGTCGGCAGGATACTGGGGTCAGAAAGACCGTTCTTTGTTGGTGGAGGTCGGAAAGACCATTGTAGGCGATAGAGGTCGGAAGGACCGTAGTCAGCAGTATTCTGGGAGAAATGTGGGCATCAGGTGGTGGCCTAGTGGAGCTCAAAGCCTCAAGTAGTGGTCCGGTGGAAGTCTGGGCCTCATGTGATGTTCTGGTGGAGTACACGGCCTTTGATGATGATCTGGCGAAGACAAGGGCCTCTGGCAGAGGTGAGGGCCTCTGGCGAAGGTGAAGGCCGTTGGTAAAAGTGAGGGCTTTTGGCGAAGGTGAGGGCCTCAGATGAATACGTTAGGCCTGAACGTCGGGCCTTGAGCAGAACGTCGGGACTTGAGCAGAATGTCGGGCCTGAACGTCGGGCCTTGAGGTGGTGGTCCG